CTGACGAAGAAGACTTTGGTACCGACATACTACCACGCACGCCTAAGCACTCTGTTCTACAGCGACCGGCCTCAGCACCGGGCTCGCGCGCTGCAACACCTAAGCCGTTTCAACGAAGCTCTCGTCCGATTGGCCGCCAAATTCCGCCAACTCGCGGCGTCTTCATCCACGACGAGTCTGACCAAGCCATTGCTGTCACTAACAGGTCGACTAAGGCTGTTGCATTCTACCGTCCACGCACGGTACTGATTCCGTGGATTCCTATGACCGATTACCAGAGTAGTACGAGCGGTACTGTCAACAACAGTCCTCGGAACTCCATTGCTCAACTCAACGCCTCCGACAGCGAGAACAGTAACGAAGTTTTCAACAACAATCTCAACACCGATATCATGCTTACTGGCATATTTGGGTCTGCTTCGGGCAATGACTTTGCTTTTGGAAACGAAAGCATTGGTCCCCCGGAGGCATTCTATCCCTTCGTAAGCATTTCTTCCAACGGTAACATGGGCCTCGTTGACGAAGATGAGGAGGGTTCTTCGAGTGATGAATACGATGAGGACCTCAACCTCGCCGACTTTTTGGAGATTGACACCGACGACACCGATGGAGATGAGTTCGACGATGAGTTCGACTTTACTGATGTGCCGGCTACACCGGCAAGCTCTAGCATGCCACATCCTGGCTCCACCCCAGCGGCACCTTCCTCTGTCACGCCCAACGCACGCGCACGGGCTACATCAGACCTTATGCTTCAGCACTTCGACCGTGGCGTCGTTACCGCTTTCCGCAGCAACCAGAACCGTTATCGCGATGTTGCTTCTCTGCCATCGGATCCTGCGGCGCGCGCCTCCGTTTCCCGCCCAGTTCGATCTGGCAAGTCCGCTGAGGCCCTGATAACTCCTCTACGAAAACGCACTCGGTCAAACAGAGTAGCCAAATCGCCTTTGAAGAACGGCACGACTATGAACCGCAGCTCACCCCTTTCCGGTGTCACCAAGGCTACATCGCGGTTACAAAAGTCGGTCATGGGCTCTCCCACCAAACCCCATGGACCTCCTAAGATGGGTAAATTCTCTTGAGTGTGTCACCACTCCACAACCCGACGTGCGGAAGATCGGACGATGGAACGACGAGTATCTGGATGGAAGCACCAGTAGTCTTCCACGGGGATGTACCGACGACTTTACGATAGCCACGACCTTTTGCCTTCTAGCTGTTTCAGCAGCTATGTTGTTATTACGCACGTTACATGCACTTGCATATTTCTCAAAAGTCCTTGGATCTTTGTTAGACGGTCCCGGATAAAAGTCGAGCGAGTCGCCTGGCCTTAGAGCGGAACTTTCCATGCGGCAACGCGACGGCATCGTCCGGCTAGTGCAGCCTTATTTGCGTCTTCACGAATTTCCTTTGTTTGGTCGGAGCGTTTTGGTTAAGTACAATGTGTTTTTACATCGATTTTCGCTATTCGTCTTGTTGCTTCCTTCACATGAGCCGAAGGTTTTCTGGGATGATACCACGTGTTTTGCGAGTACGATCTGTATGGGTTCTGCTTCCTCTGGCGTTTGGGTTCACGGTTTGGCAGACTGTTGACCTAATGGCGTTGAGGTCGATAGATGGCTCACAGTCACATCGCATTCGGGTCTCTTATGTATTTGGATTTGAATCGGACGGATGTATCGTGTAGGATTATTGGCATGGCAAGGGTAGTTTCTTGCTTAATCGAAACGTGTTCATCAACTTCATCGTGGACAAGCATGTGATCTGCAACAGTATTTCATGTGCCTCTAGATCTTCAAGCGACTCCCGGGTCCGTTACAGGTTCATCCTTCTGTTCCTGCATATGATGGCGCAATCATGGCGGGATGTCAGGATGCTGGCTGGGATGCTTAGCGTGGTGCGTCGTCTGTGCGCACCCTACGTCACACCCCGGCCCAGCTCCTCCCGCATGTGAAGATCGACGCGCTCGACATGCCAACACCAAGCCATGTAGGCGGCCGTTCCCACAAGACTGCGATGGAGAAACTCAAGGATGACTTTCGCGAGGATAGGTCACTTCTTCAGATCGCAACAGTAAGACCACCCACCCCACGACGCGCGCCATCGCGTTCTGCTGCAGCGAGTCCTGCACACATCCCACACGCATGCTCACCAGTACCTAGGACGCCATCCTTCTCCCCCTCCGCATAGCGACGTCGCCGGCCCTACTGCGAACCTATCTCCGCACGGTTCTCCTATTCATCACTTCGACCATTCTCTTCGCCTTCGCGGTCGTCGCATACTCGTCCTTCTACTACAACTACATACCCGTACGCGGCATCTCCGTACCCGTATACCTGCAATTCGACCACGGTCCCATAATACCCTACGCACACACGCAGTCAAATGGCGTACCGACTGGCAAGCCAGCAAAATGGCCGTATGGCCTCGCCAACATACCCGGCTTGGTGGACCGCCAGAAGTACGATGTCGTTGTCGAGATGGAAGTACCGCGCAGTGATACAAACCTGAAAGCGGGGAACTGGATGGTGGGATTGGAGTTCCGGGGTCCTACAACAATCGGCCAGGGTGTCAAACATCTACTCGGCTGGGATGAAGAGTGGAGTGTCGAAGACCATAGTCAGGGCGGTACACCCGGTGCCACGGCGGAGAAGGTCGTCACGGAAGGTGCTACGAGCGAGACACCTACGGTACTAGCCAGAAGTCGGAGACCAGTGCTTCTTACGTACCGAAGCCGGATACTCGAGATCATCTACAGGCTCATGCGGCTGCCACTGTATCTTATCGGCTGGCACACAGAATCCGAACACATCGAGATCAGCATGATGGAATCCGTCATGTTCGAACCGGGATACCGCAACATACCGTCTTCGCTTCGCTTGGAAATACGATCGAAACTCCCCCTCGAAGTCTACCGCGCCAGCGTACGCATCAGCGCCAGATTGGAAGGGTTCCGCTGGCTAATGTACCGATACTGGCTCACCAGCGCCATAGTCGGCATCCTCACATTCTGGGGCATGGAAATGGCCGTCTTGCTCTTCACATGGGGCGTTTTTACCCTGCTCTTCAGCAGTCCCAGTTCCAGTCCCCCATCCCAGGAAGATGCGCACCAACGTAAAATCAAGAAAGAAGAAGGCGAACCCTTCCCCAAACTCGAACACGGAGACAACACAGAACCAGGCACACCCTACAGCGACACTAGTCGTACTTTCCCCACTCTACCTTCTCAACAACCGCTCTCGTATAGCTCGCCCAGTCCGAAAGACGAACGGGATGAGCTTAGGCTGGAAGATATTCCTACGAGAGAGGAACAAGAAGCAGATGATGAAGAGGACGATGATTTTATTTTGGAGGAGCCGGTGCCGAGGGGCGTGGAGAGGGAGGGCGTGTTTACGGATTCGGGGATTGGGACTAGTTTGGAGAGTAGTGTTGAGAGGGGGTTGGCGAGACGGAGGAGTGGGAGGGGGAGTGCTGGTGGGAAGGACAAGGATGGGGGTTAGTTGCCGATGGGGGGTAATGGTAGTGGAAATGACATTAGGAGGGTGAGGCGGTGTGCGGCTTGTGAGGCGAAGGCTGCGAGGATGATGCGGTGAGGGAAGTTTGTGTGCTGTGGTAGAGGCTGTGTTGTAGGCGATATATCCATTCCTCTGTATTCATGCTATCTCTGTCCCCCGAGTACCTTCCACTATTACCCATCATTCTGCATCAACACCCTTGGTCCTCCTCATGGCACACCCAGCCTCTCTCAAACGTCCTTGTATACTGGTACAATTCCCTCGGGACACATTGGCATCTATAATCATGACCCGTTAGTCCATCTCTCCATACTGAAGGGGAAAAGAAAACAACTTACATAGATATTATCATTACAATAACTCGCACACCATTGAGGCATTGGAGCTCCCTGTGCCCACTTGTACCATAACGGGTCGCAGATGTTGCTGCATGTGTAGATGGAGCAGTAGGGTGTTGGCATGGAAAGTCTGGGTGGTGGGAGTACGCGAGCTACGTCCTTGCGTTGATTTGGCATGTGACTGAAATTTGGGGGTGAGGTGCCGATGGCGCAGAGGGGAAGCTTTTGGTGTGGGTTAGTATCCTTCCTTTTTTTCTTGGTAAAGGAAGCTTAGTTGATTATGAAAACTCACATCTTTGTCTCCCTGGCAGAGCATTTGACATGTTTCTGAACCAAGGAAACATGCGGATTTGCAGTTTACAAGCGAACACGGGGTACCGGATATACTGCTATGCTGTTCGGCTTGGGAGGCCAGTGGGCGGGCGGTGACCGTCAGGAGGGTGAGGAAGATGGTGGAGATTGTGAGCTTCATCTTGGTGGTTGGGGTGTGGTTGGTGGGTTGGCGGGTTGGTGAGGGTTTGTTGAAGTCTCTTTGGGAAATTTGGAAGTTGGTCAAGTTGGTTGAGTTTGGAATGGTTGGTGTGGAAAGAAGAGAGAGATGCGTAGGTTTATATAGTTCCTCAGCAACTCAGAACTATTTTTTCAAACTCATGAACTGGATGGAATACCTAGGTATTGTGCAGCTTAACTTTGGCTAAGCGAGTTAGCGTCCTGGGTCTTGCCATTACTCACTATAAGAAGCTGTATGAATGTTTGTTCTATGGGTTGCGTTCTATGATAGACGCGTTCTGTGTGGTTGGAGAAAAGTGCGTGTGCTGAGGAACCCTGGTTTACACACCCGAACCAAACTTGGACCATGGTGACGAATAATAACAACTACGACAGGGCCATCGCGCAGAGAGGGAAAGATCGGGAACCCTTGGTTCATGGACTTAGGAACAAGACTGTTGCAGTGGACTACACACGGGAAGTGTTGCTGTTGCAGATTAGAAAGGTTGAGAGCTACATCCTAGCAGCGGGCGACGCAGTTTCTTCGTTAAACTCGATGTAGGAGTCCGGCTAGAGAATCTAATATATCACCAAAAGAAACGCTATATACAAAACCCTCACATTCAAAACCAAACCCGCCACAATCCCAACCACCAGCCTAAAGCATAGGTCTCTCACTCGCCGGATCCAGCCCCTTCGCAAACTTCCTCTCAATCCTCTCCTTCCCCTTCTGCATAAACCCCTCCACCTCCTCAAACCGAATCTGCGTCAACCCCGTCTTAACATCCATCTCACTCCTCTCCACCGTCTTCGCCTTGATAAACACGCCATTACTTTCCATCTTCTTCCCTTCAACAACCTCTTTACAGAACTTAGCGTACTCGCTGAAATGCACAGCACTACTCGGAACACTCTCGAGCAACATCGCGAAGCAATGTGGCATAGCTTCGAAGTCGCGCCACACGACCGTCACACCCTGAGCGACGCACCGTTGCGCCATAACGGCATCTTCATCGCGTAGCATTTCTTCGCCGACGGAGAAGAATAGCGGGGGGCTTTTGCTCCAGTCTTTTGCGATGAGCGGGGAAACGAGGGGATGCATCAGCGCGCTTGCTTCGGCGTAGAAATCTGCGCGTGGGGGATCCGCCGGCCATACACCCTCGTCTTTGGGAAATTCTCTTGCGTCGGTTGAGCTAGGTGGGGGCAGGTAGTCGTATGTTACTGCGCCCTCGATAGAAGGTAGACTACGCGTGATGTCGAGCCAAGGGGACGCGAATGCCACACCAGCCGGTAAGGGGATTTCCACCTGCTTGCCGTGGAAATTGACACGAGGGGTTTGGCCAGCGGGCGTGCTGCGGTGGATTTGAAGGAGGAGTTGGAGGAGTGCCGTGCAGCATGTCCCGCCTGCTGAGTCGCCTCCGAAGACGATTTCGCTGGCGGGGATGGGGTCGTGGAAGGAGCCTGGGGGTGGGTGCAGGAGGGAGAGGTACGCCGTGAAACAGTCTAGCAAGGCGGACGGGAAGGGGCCTTGTGGTGAGAGGCGGTATCGCACTGAGAAAACGCGACCGCCTGTTTCTTTCGCCAGGCGACCCGTTAGAGGTCGTGATGTCGCTGGGTCGAGAAGGTACATTGCGCCGCCGTGGAAATAAAGGAGTGTGACCTTGCTCGTCGTTTCTTTCATGAGGTTCTCGTATTTATCCTTTTCGCTCATGTCGGCGGGTTCGGGTTCGTCGTCTTTTGCGGAGGCGCGGTAGCCGTCCCATTCTGCTTCTAGAGGGCGCTGCTCTGGCTTCGTCCATTGCTCTTCCCCGGTGCTCATGTCGTCGATGGCTTTGAACATTATTTGTCGGATGTCGTCTTCTTGTGGTACATCTAGTTTGACTTTGCTGACCCAAATTTTGCCTTTGACGCCCGGGTCTTTGCAGGTTAGACGCTGCAGCTTTGAGATGGGCGTTGGTGTTGAGTTGGGGCCCATCATGTCGCGGAGCATGTTCACTGTGATTTCCGTCTTCAGATCCCACTTTGAACTCGTCGGCGACATGGATAGAGAGTGCCATAGTGCTGTCTTCAATAGAAACGGTGTTTTGGGAAGCAGAAGCTTGAGCAAGGCTGAAGGTGAAGCGTCCATGTTGGCGATGTTCCGCGGAGGCGTTGACTCAAGTCTTAGGTCTCGAAGACTGTGAACGTGATCGAAAATCACACTTTTATTCTTTTGGAGGTTAGAAAATTGGATTTTCGAGGGTTCCCAGGCTATACTCAAGGTTAAAGGAGAGAAGGAAGTGACTTTAGTGGCAAACAGGCAGTCTTGACGTCGCGCTACTAGACCAACGCGGCATATAACGATGCCTCGGCACGAGTCATGATCTCATGCACGATATACGGTCTATACGCCCACGTGGGGGAATCTATGAAGACCCGCAAGCCGCAGCGATTGACGCTAGCTGTCCTTCCAGAAGATCAATCTTTCTTGATGTCTTTGGTACGATGAGATGTTTATTGCATGTATTGGAGACGAGACCTTCACCGCCCCCTCCTCGTTCTCCCCCACCCACCCGGACTCCGTCGCTGGCAGTAGTGCAAATGATCAATCACATGCCGCAGCATCTACACAGAGTCTGCAATATTTGCTCCATAATTGAGAAAACACGTCGCGTTACTGTCTAATCATCAATAGTATTCAAGTACTATGCGCATACCTAGGTAGTAATAATGTGTTATGCGGGTTAGTGGTATCTTCCCATGTCGCCTTGTACCAACCAAACGCCTAATACCTCAATTCCCTAAACAGACGATACTATAAGCCATATCCTTCTTCTTCGTCCCAAAGCGGGGTTCGTGTCCATGGCAATCCATTCGCCAAGAAGCCAGCAGTCTCGTCGTCGATCATCGAATCACGACGAGAGCGTTGAGCTTCTGGGCCTGGCGATGGTGGTTTCTGATAATGGATCTTGAATCCGGCGCGCTTGGCCAAGCTGATGATTCTCCGTCCTTGGAGTGTCTTCTACCCATCCAGTTCACCCTCTTCACTGCCCCTCTCCGTCACGTTGCCATCACCCGTGCCGTTGGCAGGAGGTTGGCTTTGGCTTGTCGCCTGTACGCCTTCCATACCGTCGGGCGTGTCTCCGAAGTCGATGCCGTCCTCTGGTGTCCGGAGCCCTGCGTACATGGAGGGTTCTCCATCTTTGTCTGGCGACTTCTCGTACAGATCCGCCATGAGGTTGCAGGCTCTCCGAATGTCGCGCAACTGGACATGTTGTATCTCCCACCATGGCTTTCCGTCGTCGTCTCCTAGCTCTACCTCCGCCATACGCGCGCCGGCGTATAGCGATGCTGCGGCGATCGCTCGCGATGTGAACAACAGGCACATTTGTGTGGACGTCGAGTCGGAAAGGAAGGCCCAGGCTGAGTTGCGCAGCTTCTTGTTGTGCTCGACTCCGTAGTACTTCATCATGTCGTACATGGTCTTGTATGGTGATTCCACGTTAAGATCGAAGCACAAGGCTTCGAGTAGGACGTCTTCGCTGTACAGGATTGTGTCGCGCCATTTCCAAAAGTCTTTGGTCTGCTCGTCGACGAGCTTGTTGGGATCCTTGAGCGCGACCCGGACGCATGAAACAACGAGTTCTTTCATCTTGCGACAGTTTTCTTCGACTTTCGTCGCGAGGAATAACGCGGTTGCGGCGATTTGCTGGTGAAGTTAGACGCGTTTCAATCGCATTTATCCGGAAGGGAGACTTACATAGTGGTGGAGTGGCTTATAACCCGGCCGTGGCTTCAAACTCATTCGCATCAGATAGCGATTGAAGAAGACGGCCGCTGTACTAAGCGTGGTTTGTGGTAACTTGAGCATCATGCCCACCTGCAATATAAACCCGACGCCCTTCCGTCGTAGTGTGCGCTCCTCCTCAGCGGGCATGCCATCGCATATCGACGGCGCCAGTAGCAGTTCTTCTTCGGTGAAAATCCACTGCATCTCGGCTTCGATGACGGCCGGCGGTGGCGGTCTGGGGGGCTCACGCTGCGGCGCCATCGCGCTGCTGGCGGTCGATACCATCACCGAGGGTTGTAGCACTAGAGGTTGTGTTTCGATGCGCGATTGTGGTGGTACAGATGGCGCGCAAAGGATATGTTCCGATCCGGTATGGCGTCCCCGTCGTCGCTGATGGATATGTTAGACGACAGTTGCAGAGTACGGTGAGGGGTTTTGAAGTGGCGTGAGAATTTGCGTGTGGTCGGGTGAATAGTGAAAGGCGACAATAGCAGCGGTATTGTCCGTCAAGGCGCACCCATTGAAGCTTGAGAGCTGCAAGGGCCAACGGCTCTCTTCCGCGGCGAGTGCAGGGGTCACTTCCGTCAACCTCCATCACCCCAACCTTAGAACGCCGAAGGCTAGCAGCACCACGCTCGGCAGCCCCAGAGCCCGTGTTGTAACTAAAAGCTTGTGTGCTGTCAGATAGTCTGGGCATGAAACGAATTGAGCATGTTTCAAGCAAGAGAGACTCAAACGCCGTTTCGAACTGTCAAGTCGCACATGAAACTACTATCAAATGTCAACTGTGAGAGATATATTGTACCTCGTTCTCTGTGTGAGAACGCCTGACCGTCCCCAATCGTGCCATGTTGATTTTAGGTACAATTAATATTACATAGGTGAGTCAACATAAGATAGAGATAGTTTGACCGCAACCCGAGACGTCTATATCCGACCCGCCATACGCGCCGTGCAATGCTGGAAGTGTGCATCTTGCTCAAGATGAGTAGAACGCTTCGAATGTGTAGATGATACCGAAAACGAGGAAAGCAATCGCTCCACCAAGCGTGACTGTCACGAGTTAGCATTACGTCAAGAACGAGGGATTGGACATGCTTACCATTGCGCATGCTGATCTTTCCAGCAATGGCGCGGCCACCGATGACTGCGCCTGCAGTACACAGCCCGTGGCCAACTACAGCGCCGGCAGTGACATACCAGTAGTCAGATCCAGCAGCCATGGCAACAGTCGCAATTTGACTGCGATCACCCCACTCTCCGAGGAAAGTCATAACAAATGTCTGTACCCACGCAGGGCTAAGGAGGAGGGAAAAGAGGTTGTTCACAGCGCCCAAGGTGCCACTCATGGAGCCTCCGCGCGGTGAAGGCATTCGATCGGGGGAGCTGGAAGGGCTGCGGGCTGGGGCAGGTAGTCGCGAGTTGGATCGGGAGCGTCGCACACCACGACCAGACTCGAGGGCATACGGAGAGATGGAGGATTTCCGGCGGTTTTGGTGTCGGGCAAGCTGTTCCTTCTCTTCAAGCTCCTGCTCGACTTCAGCCATTTCCTCGCCCACGCCATCGTCTGGGCTCATAGCGAGACCCTCTCTTATGAGGTTGACACCGAATACAAGGAAAAGAGCAGCCGCAGCGAAGTGTGTGAAGCGTTCCGAGAGGAGCGCGGGGACGGCGTGGCCCATGACAGCAGAAAGAATTGTCATGACGACCAGAGCGGAGTAGGCGGCAGAGAAGACGAGGAGCCGAGGGTGTCGCATAGCCATGAGCGCCGCAACGAGGAATGTTTTGTCCCCAATTTCCGAGACGATAATCATAGTGAAAGCGAGTATGAAGGAATGGAAAGGTTGTACGGCGCCGGCGTCAACATCGTCGAGTGTCGAAGAGGGTGTCTTGGGTGGTGAAGTGTCTAGGGGATCTTTGGTAGAGACAGAGCCTGGAACAGGAAGAGGGTTGTCGTGGAGGGAGTCGGGAAGGTCGGTGGGTTTCTATAGCGCAATTAATACAGTATTATCAGCTTGAAAATATCGCGGCTCACCTCAAGTCCGCCAGCACCGAGCACACGAGTGGTGCTTGCAGTCTCTACAGCGTCTCCACTCAATTGCTTCTGGTCGGCAGGATGGGCGGGAGCCTCCTTTGGCGACTCGGGAACCTGTTCCATTTTCTCCCCCGTTTTCTCCTCGTGTGCCAGTCGCTCCTTGTCCTTTGCCGACACTCCACCCTCGGTGCCTGTGCTGCCAGTGGCCGGTTTCCGTGCCGGGTCCTGCATGACGCTCTTGTCGCCATCCTTGACGTCCTCTACAAGCACAGTCTCCGCAGAAGCGCCAGGCTTCTTGGCTGCTCCGAGATCTTCGACAACGTTGGGAGCCTTCTTCCCTTTGTATTTTGGATCGTCGTCCACGTATGGCCCGGCGTGAGGCTTGCCGTCTAGCCCATCGACAGGCGCATCTTTCGTTCCTTTTGGAACCGCTGTCGGGGCGAGTGAGGCATCAGGCGAGTAGGTGGCTTGGGTGTAGGCTGGCACAACGGCCCGCGCGACTGGCTTGTCGTCTGATGTGTCTACGGCAATGGATGTGGCGAGAACTCGTAAAGCGGGTAGGAGGAGAAGCAAAGTGTGCGGTCGTGGCTGTCGTAACCTCATGATGAATGCGATTCGAAGGGGAGCAGGGGTGCGGTGCGGCGAAGGTAAGAAACGGCGACGGTAATGGGAAGCGCCCAGAGATAATCCAAGGGCTGCAAAGAGTGACGAGAATAGAAGAGGTTGTTGTGAAGGAAACGTGGATGTTTCGCCAAGTTTTATTGAACAGAACGGTGTAGGGGTCACTCTGATGTTGAGGCGTGTAAAGCAAGTCGAAGACGACCGAGATGCGCGCAGGGGGTGCGTGCAGACAGCCCACGTAATATATCCACGCCTACGTAAACCACAACGAGGGCTAGTTAAGGGGCCTTTCTGTCCGGAAGCCTGTGGGGAAGACCGGAAACATGGTGCAAATGCCGTGGTTCCGTCTCGAACTCAAACGCTTCGTATTCACATCCGTTCTGCACAGCTGGCCCCTTCTCCGTGCTGCGCCTTGAATGCTGAGGCCCACCCAGGCCCCAAACGGCGATCCACGGCACTAGTCACGTGAGCACCCGTCGAGTCGCCTTAGTCAGCCACCTTCGCGGACCGTTGGCGTAAACAAGCCCGCATCCGCATCAACGCTACTGACATCACACCTCACCCAACCTACGTCGCATGTAATACCAGCCGAGTCCACGCGTTCCTACGACACTATCATGGCCGACCGCAGAAGTGTGCGGTCTGCAAGCCGGCGCAAAACACCTACTCCACAACCACCGGCCAATGCGCCTGCACAACAATTCGGACGCGCATCGCGAGCGAGAAGTTTGCGCAGCGCCAGTCGCGAAGTAGAGGATTTTATCGACATCCAGAAGCCCACACGTCGAAGCGCGCGACAAGCGAGCGTGACTACGAACGATGGAAGTGAACATGAGGCACCAAAGGCGCGCAACACAAAGCGCAAACCCGCGAAAGAGCTGTTGGGAGGTTAGTAGCCACAGCCCAGTTGCTCGCTTGCGCAGTTCCAAGTAGCGCAATATTCACTACTGGCTAGACAGAGCTCAAGCTAATTACGCATGCGCCAGACCTCACAGTGGTTGAGGAAATAGACACCGAGATTGCCCTTGAGGAAGACGAAGTCCCAGGTACACCAGCGCGCACCGAGCCTGACGTAACCTTCCGCTCACCGGGCGCCGCCTCCGAGATGTCCGGAACCACTGCCATCACCTCCTTCAGCATGATAGAGGCCGAATTCCTGGAGCCCAGATACATCGTCAAGCATCTGCGCAAGCTATGCGAGGCTACAGAGGATTTTCTGGAGCACATTGCGCCAAATCACGCGGCAATAGACGATGATCTGCAAAACATACAAGAGATGCGAAAACCCGGCTCAGTCTACAGCAAAGATTACCAGGACTTCGAAGACGAACTGAACACGCAGTTGAAGCATTACAAAGGCGAAGAACACAGCTACATACACATCAGAGCAATTCACCGCGCTCTTTTTGGGACAAGTGAGGATGTCACAGCATCACAGAGTGGCCTCGATCTGATCCTCTACCTCACCAATCTACTGGTGTTAGCGAAGCAGATAATGCATTCAGATCGAGATGATAAGAGTATGTGGGATGTACTACGACAACTAGACATTTCGTTCCCGACTCAGTTTCTGCAGTCGCTCGATTCGGACGCGCAACAGTCAGCTGCAGGAGAGAGTGCGCTATACAATGAGACCTTTGAGCTTGCGCTAGAACTGCGGACACAACTAGCAATACTCGTCCTTCAGAAATCGACCGACAACCCCAGCTTTGATCCCACAGAAACAATGGAGGAGGTCTTCTTTCGGTCTGACTCGTCACAGTCGGTAGAAGCTGGCTCGCCGATCCGTGGGTGGAGCACAGCAGCTTTGGGCGGTGACGAATCAGCGCTACCCGAAGAATTCGAGGACCAGATTGTGACCCGAGTAGACCAGATCCGAGCCTCTTTCTTCTGGGATGGGCAAGATAGCCAAGCTGTTGACTTGCAACAACTTAAGTCAAACTTTCCGTGGGTGGCAACTGTTCTTCGCCTGTTAGATTGGGTGCGTCTTCGGCACAAGGAACTCAAAACGACCGTCGATAATCTTGGAGGACCAAACACTATCATGCGTAACCTCAAAGAAGCCCTAGAGGAACCTCAGCACGTCACTCAAACAGCGCCATCTGCTCCACGAGAATCATTGCGTAAAAAACGAACTTCGTTTGGACGAGACAGGCGGCGCAGTAGCCGTAAATTTGACCCAAATGCGAAGGTGGATTTGCGTGCTATTGATGTTTTGAAAGAGAAAGAACGTGATTCGGGTGTACATCTGGAACTCGCGGCTTCTCAGCCTGATCGTGAAGAGACTCTTGTTCAGCAACCAGTTGAGGAGATGGAGAATGAGCAACCGGGAATGGACGACCAGCCACAAGACGAACAACAGACCATGGTCGGAAGCGACACGGCTTCTCAGCAGGAGCATGAGGATATTCCTCAAGCGATCGAAAAAGTGCAGAACGAGCAGCCAAGGACGGAAGACCAACAGGATAATATGCAGGTGGTAGATGAAAGCGACGGACCGCAGCAGCCCGATGAGGAGCAGTCTGAACAGCAACAACCCCGACAACAAACGGCGGAAGAAAACGGAATAGAAGAGCCCGAAGAACCAGTCGAAGAGCAGGTCGAAGCACCTCAAGCATCAGGCCCACCGCAAAGCTCAGCAGCTCTACTAAAAGCTCTAAAGGCTGTTCCAAAGCCGCAGAAAGAGAACCGCCCAGTATCAATATTCGATCGCCAACCAACAGCACAGCGCATCGAATTCGGCGACGGCTTCGACAGCACCCAGCCAACACCTGGCCCGTCAAATACAGCCAAAGGAAAGCAACCCGCATTGCCATCCCCACGCAAACGTAAGCGCGTAATCGACATCTCCGACTCAGAATCCGACGAATTCGAAACCGCAGACCGCGGCTTCCGTGCCCCAGAACGGCGTCGCAACGCGCCCGTCTCAAAGAAACAGCGCACCGCAGAACCCATACCCTCTTCCTCCGCAGCACCAACTAGCCACCAGCCCCCTCCCCGCCCAGAATCCGAACAAGAAGAATCAATCTCCGAAATCTCTGCGCCCTCCATGTCCGAAGAACCGCCCTCGTCAACCTGGCCCGACCAACGGCGACTCGCAAAAGAAAACCGCGCTCTCGAAGTCACCACGCAAGAACGGGCGGCCGAACGCAAAGGCCGCCAGAAGTGGACGGACGACGAGGAAGACGCGCTGATACAGTATATGAACATGTACCGGGGGAAATACTCGAAGATTCTGCAGCATGATCAGGATGATCATGGGCCGAGGAGGTTGATCAATAGGAATCAGGTTAATTTGAAGGATAAGGCGAGGACGATGGCTTTGCATATGATCAGGTAAGTTACCTTCTTCTCTCCCTTCATGACAGGGACTGAAAGCATGGAATGATTATGCTAACATATTGTTTAGATCTGGAGCTGGACTAAGACCAGGTTTTGAGATGATTATCCACCCGGGTATGAAGGAAGGCAAAGCTTTGATGGCCGCTGGGTGGGTAATGCATGAAGATGGATCTTGGGAAAGGGCTGCTAGATGATCTTTGAAGGTTTGTCCGATTGGATATCTGGGACAAAGGCGTTTTTTGGTTGAATATTCTTGATACCCACCGTCGCCATATCGGGCGTTTTACTCAATCGTACAGTTGTTAGTTCTCAGACATTTATTTGCCTTGGTTACCAGGCAGTGTCCTTGACTTCACACCTCTTTCCACCTCCCTTCGTCTATGAATGATTGAGACCATCAAACCATCTCCCTCCACCTAACCCCCCACTCCCCCTTCGCAAAACTACTCTCAACAACCACGCCCTTCATAACAGCCTCACACTTCTTCTTCTCACTCTCCCCCTCAACGCTAAACCCAAACGCACACCCCCTCCTCGCCGCCTTGCGCACCATCTCCCTCTCATCCGCTTTCCGCTGCCCCTCCCTCCGCTTCAACTTCATCTCATCGGTCTCCTCGATGCGTTCGGCCCAGCCTTTTTCTCCGCCCACGCTGCCGTTGACGTCGTTTTGCGCTTGGGGTGGGCGCACTTTTCCGCCGCCGTAGCCGTATTCGACTGTGTCGGGAAGAGCGGAGGGATCCGCGTCTGCGTCTGTGGAAGAGGCTGTTTTGGTGGGTTCGAGGACTATGCCGCCTTCGGCTTCGGCGTCGGAATCTGATACGCTTTCCTCGTCGCTGGTGTAGTCTTGTGGAGGTTGCTGTGGTGCAGATGATGCGTCTGTCGTGGCTGTAGTGGCAGGTGTACTGGATGCAGGTTGATCGACCATATCCACGCTCTTCCAATCCTCGGGCTTCTCGACTACGAAACGCGCTTTACGGTTCTTCCGTCGGCCGTATACTTTCTCGGGGTCTTTTTCCCGCTGGAACACTATCTCTTCTACTGTACCGCATTCGATGATGATTCTAGTTTCTCCTTTGACGGTTTTGGATGGCTTTTTCTTATGCTTCTTCTCGCCTTTTCCGAATTTAGCATCGTCATTCACAGCTTCTGATTCTCCATTGTTCTTGACGGGGTCTGCTCCGGCGTTTTCTTTTAGTGATTCTGGTGACGCGCCGTTGAGAAGGGCGGCGAATGTGGCTTCGATCTTGCGGTCGGTGGGACCTGGTTTGCTATTTCGGCATCGTGCTGAGCAGTACTTGACTGCCGTTGCGTTTTGAGTCTTGCGGCGCTCGCTGATTACGCGCCCGCAGCTGTGGCAGTAGGGTACTGTGTCGCCGACGGTGAGGTAGAGGGGGGGTGGGGTGACGGCGTGCTTGCTGGGCCGCGACCAAGAGTCCATCCATGACATCTTGCTGAAGTTTATGGTAGATTGTAGTGGTAACGATCGGTATAGCTTATTCAAGCGTAAAATATGGGGTTGCCGTCGTGTGAATGTACGGTAGAAGAATGTCGTGCTTGTGAAGTTGGTAGAGAGGGTACGAGCGCACGACGTCATCGGCTGTTACCTACCTGGTACGTGGGTGTATGCAGGTACGAGACTATGGACTGTGCCGCAGGAAGGCGTGAACGGGTGAAGCTCGAATCATGTACATTTTGCAGCTAAGAGTTGAAGTCTATAATGACGTACTCGAATTGAAGTTTCCTACCTGTGCACTTGGGGTGGCTGCACGTGAGCTTCCAGCTATTAGAAATGGCCCTTATCATAGCCTCCGCCTAAATACCGCGATCGATATACAATATTGGATTACTCAAGTCTACTAAATGCACCGACGTTGGTCAGCGGTATCCCCACAAACCTCCCCAGTCGGTCCTCGGATGTTCCCCATCACGCCTCACGCCAGTTGCCGAGCTTAACATTGCCCCGATCTCGGTAATCAGCACGCATCGCAAGATATACAGTCTCCATTCCGCCGATGAATATGGAGGATATATATGTTCTTCTTCGGCGCTCCACCCTCTGCCGTTATATAGGGGCAGCGGGAGATTTGCGTACCTTGGGCTCTATTCTGCGCAGAACTTCAGGTCACGTCTTGCCCAGGGCATAAGGTCCGTTACAAAGCGGACAAATGGAACGTCTATCGCTATCAGCAGCGACTCCAGTGCCCCATTCCCCCTTCGCACAATCGCCATCGCAACCCCATCTCTCCGCTAGACGCCGTCGACCTCTGAGCGTGCGCCATCGCTGTAAGAGGGCGAAGCTGCAGCCAAGACCCAGAACATCCGCATCCATGTCGCCTGCGTTGGACCCCGCGACGGGTGAAACCGGCACCAAAGGATCGCGTGCGCATCCTATAGAGACATCGTCGACCCCGGAACCGGGACGCCCGAGACGGACTACCGCGCAAAGCGACATCCAGGACACGATACAACACCCGGGCAACGTACGCATCAACGTCCAGGGGGCCTTTATCGTAGACGAGGAGCAGCCGGGGACGCCGCAGAGCGAGGACTACGAACACGACCCGCACGACATCAGACTGCCGAACCACACTTCGGTAGTCAGCCATGTAGCCGTCGATGTGAGTGTACCTGCGTGGTCGTGTGCTTGATTGGTTGTGGCACGCGACCATTCACAGCGACCAGCCCCTTGCAGAGTCACAGCAGCATGCTAATCCATCGCGCGCATCGCAGATAGGAGGCTCTCTAGCCAAACTTGTATACTTCTCGCGCGAACCGGGCGACGATGCGATCGGCGGACGTCTAAACTTCTTCAAGTTCGAGACAGACCGGATAGATGCGTGCATAGAGTTCATGCGCAAGCTCCAGGCCGACCAGAAGCACGACAATGGATCCAGGTCGCCGGACCTGTGTATCATGGCGACTGGAGGTGGTGCGTTCAAGTACCATGACAAGATAAAGCAGGCGCTGGATGTGGAAGTCATACGGGAGGACGAGATGGAGTGCTTGATCATAGGTACGAACATGGCGTTGTCTATGGGCAGGGAACCAGCGTGCTAACTTCAACGTTTTATAGGCCTTGATTTCTTCATCAACGAGATACCAAACGAAGTCTTCACATACAGCGAAGACAGCCCCATGACCTTCATGCCACACCCTCCCGACCCACCGAACATCTACCCCTACCTCCTCGTCAACATCGGCTCCGGCGTATCCATGATCAAAGTCTCAGGGCCCCGACAATACGAGCGCATAGGCGGAACATCACTAGGAGGAGGAACGCTCTGGGGACTCTTGTCGCTGCTCACCGGCGCACGCAGCTTCGACGACATGCTGCGACATGCGGAGAACGGCGACAACTCCACGGTCGATTTACTCGTTGGAGATATCTACGGACAGGCATACAACAAGATTGGGCTCAAGAGCACACATATCGCTTCGTCATTCGGCAAGGTCTACAAGATGAAGCGCGCAGCGGAACGGGAAGCAGAAGATGGATGCAACGGCGATCTCAAGCGCCGGGAAGAAGCAGAACACGTCGAAGGCTCTGCAGAACTCTCCCACGACCCCGGTTCCTTCCGTCCAGAAGATATGGCGCGATCGCTTCTTTACGCTGTCTCAAACAACATCGGCCAGTTGGCGCATCTACACGCTGAAAAGCACGGACTGCCTAGGATATACTTTGGAGGTTCTTTCATCGGCGGTCACTCGCAGACGATGAATACGCTTTCTTATGCTATTCGTTTCTGGTCAAAGGATACGCGGCAAGCGTACTTCTTGAGGCATGAGGGATACCTAGGTGCCGTAGGTGCGTTTTTGAAGAGGCAGCCGAGGAACTGGGGGAGGAGGGAGAGTGGTGCGGGGTCTGTTAGACCGACCTCAGTTTCTTCGCGCGCTTGAGATCCGGCGACGAAGGATCTCGTCTCGGAACGCTGATACAGTTGATGACTTGAGATCTTCACCTTTGTTTTGGGTGGTAGCTAGCATATAGACGTAAGGTTCTTGTTGTAACATTGTTAATATCATTATTCATCTATTCAGCCTGGTGGCGCCGTGTTTGATTGACTATTTCCTAGATCACCGCTTACGAAGACTATGAGGACGGCCGCATATCTGTACGCATCCACATCGGCCCAATATCTCAAGTCTTCCCTAGATGGTACGCGCACTCGTCTTATCGCTTGTACATGAGGGTCGCACGATCATGATCACTCGCAATGAAGAGCGCACGAGAAGGATATCTTGAGAACGCGCGAATGCACAGTCCAAAGTCAATTCTGTGCTTCAGCACATCTTCCTAGGCAGTTCATTATGGTGGCCACACCCGAAAATTGCAGCAGACTGAGCAGGTTATGGTGCTACTAGAATGCTGGTGGTACTTGACCGGTCAACGGATCGGGCTATCTGTAACCGTGCTGTTGTACACGGAGCCAAGTTCTACCACATAACCGCCACCGCCGAATTTTATCCAGAAGACCGATCTCCTTGGATTAACTGACTACACAAGATGGAATACTACGACGACAATGACTACATATGCGCCTCTCCTGAACTCACTCCATTCCAACCTGATCTGAGAGGTTGTCTTCCATTGTCGTTCCCACCTTCATGGCTATTTCAAGAAATTTGCGAGACCCCTCCGGTAGATGCTGTATTCATTTAAACTTTACCAGAACTAACATTGAAGTAGAGTTTAGTTCAAATTGAACGCTCTGGCGATGGTCTAGAGGCCCGAAGGAAGCTGCACAAGTTGTATCACATTCATGCTCAGCAAAGTGAATGGCAGTCCATGGAGACTATGCTGCTTCACCAAATGGGTCCTTCAGATCCACGATCCACGTTGTCGCTTGATACCCGTGATGTACTAGGAGATGTTCATGATGACGGGTCATTATCTGACGGCGGAGACTCGACAAACTCAGGTTCTCCTCCCATGAGCGATGCCAATCTCTGGAGAATGCAGGACATACCACTACCGCCATTGCCTTCCTTTGGAGTGCG